ATACATACATATGTGTGTATGCATGTTGTATGTATGTATGTTCAAAAGTATTACATTTTGAGGCTTTGTCGTGTGCTGTGGGAAGATGATGGAATGGCCGGAAAACTAAGGTAGAGGGATGGATGGGTGAGGGGATAGTTCAGTTGCCCGGCTGGTTCCGGGGGCGAGGCGACCCGGTAATTACAAGCTCACGACAATGTGCGACGTGAACAATAATTTTACGTGTACTTGCAATAACACAATAACTCCGGAAGAAGACACACACAGGCTCATAAAGGAACGCGTGATTATAGTTGTTTTCCTGTGGATCTGTGTGAGGAAATGCACACACACACACACACACACACACACGCATGAAATTACAACTACATATTTACGAGTATGCATGTACATATGTACATACATATATAAGTACATATGTACTTCTCTATTTCCAGGACACAAAACCAGTCTGACGAATCGATTTCCAGATGTATCCCAAGATGCAATTGTATTTATGAACGAGCATCTAATAATGACTGCAAAATTAAATTATACACACAAGTTAATTATAAATACATATGTATGTGTATATATATATATATACATATATATATGTATATATATATGTATGTACATATGTATGTATGTATGTAAATATGTATGTATGTATGTTCAATCATATGTACATTTATTATAAAATAAGGGGATGGATTTTTTTCGGTTTGGGGAGATATCGAAATAAATAAACAAACATTTTTAAATTAATACGATTTCTGGAGAAGAAACGAATAAACAAACAGCAGAAGTGTGTACAAGGAGAACCAGATGAGGAAATTTGTCCGCATAAAGCTGACAAACTAATTTTCAAGATAAAACTGATGACGATGATGCTGAGAACGACGATGGGGTTAGGGAATATCCTCAATAGAGAAGCCAGAACTAAAGTTAACCAACCGCTTCCACAAATGGAGATGCGTGTGGGCGGAGAGAGAGGGAGCGCGCGATGCACAGCACACAGAACTGGAACCAAGAAAATATGCTACGTGAAGCAAAACGAAAGCCAAAAACTAGATGAAAAACTTGGCTGTGGAAATGGCAGACCCGTACAAGATAAGCCAAAGATGCAAGCCATGAAAGCAAGCAGGCGCAAGCAGAGGCAGAAAGCATCACGCAAAAGAAGCAGAACATGAACGAGTGGGCTGGTAGGAACAAGACAAGACAAGTTTCATATGCAGCATGATGCACTGTGCTCCCTCTCTCTCTCGTCGTCCCGTCACACTCGCGCGTTGGCAAAAGTAGAACTTTGCTTGAAAAAGATAGCTCCCCATCTCTCTCTCTCTCTCTCTCTCTTTCACTCTTACCGCAAAAGTTCGCTGCTTGATTGATAGCCAATGGGGTCGGGCGCTGGAGCAGGGGATGCCTGGTTTGTGGTACGGTCGGAAGGAAAGAAGCGGCAGGCGGGACGGACTGCTGCATAGAAAAGCTTGCAACTTCAGAAAATTTGTATCGCTTTACATTTCGTTCTTGGCTCAACTGAGAGAAATACAGAAAAACTAAGGCGAAGAGTGAGCAAAGAGAGGTTAAGAGCCAGAAAGAGAGGGCGAGCGAGCACGTGCAATAAATGCAATTACCGCTGTATCTGTGTACGAGACTGTATGCGTGTGCGAGTTTATGGGTTCAAGTTGTACATTTTATCGAGTCTTTTATAGACGATTCTCATATGCGGGGTACCAAAAGGTGTATGGGCACACACGCACACACGCACACACCCGAATCCTCCTCCATCTACTGAAATGAATTACTTCCAGAATTAATTCCAGAGAATACAACATACAGCTCGGCTATATCATACATTTTGAATCCACCTGGCACAATCAAATAGTCAATTACAATTTAAAGGTTCCGTAGTATAGTTCCGTAAAAGCTATCCATGAGTGTCGTACACATACAGCTGCGCCGATGATGGTTCTAGTGAACGTTGCTAAGACTTATACATATATAAACTTTATGCTATAATTTATCGTATCCCAGAGCACTGGTACGATTTGCCAACTCCAAATGAAAATATTTGAAAAGAGAAGGGTTATATCATAAATTTGGGCCTCAACAAAAAGGCGCCAATTTACAAAAAAAAAATCAAAAAACTACTAAAAGAAAAACAATTTTTTAGTAAAATATGTTAGTTTAGTTGTATTTAAAGGTTGGCATTTTGTTGCAAAGCCTTTGTCAGCAACAACAGCAGCTCAACATCTCGGCACTAAAGCGCACCTAATTTCCGCATATTTCCATTGGGATATTGATCCCCGAACATGCAGGATACCCCAAAGATCGTCGTTGTGCTTTGGTTTCGCATTAGCAACATATTTTTTAACTTCACCTCACCCAAAATATTAGCAGTGGGGTCAAGTCTGGAGACTGAACAGGCCAACCCATTACTTTAAGTGAATTGTTCTCGGACCACTTTCGAGCTTTCTTTCTAAATTGTTTTGCGTAATTTTCGTGCTGGAAGACACAAAACAACTTCATTTCGTACTCCGCATTAGGCAGCATTACTGTTTCTTAGATATTACCATAAGCATTTTGTACCATAATGGGTCTGTGCCATGTATTGGATCACCTCCTAGTACGAAAATCAAGCCCATACGACTATGCTTGCTTTTCCATGTCTAATGATTTTTCATGTGAGTCAGGGGGTTGTAATCTGCATTCGGTAGTCGTTTCTCATAAGAACAAGTCGCTTTTCCACCAAAAAATAATCGTTTCCGACCCCATGAAGTATATATATTCTTGATCAGCATCAATAGCCGAGTCGATTGAGCCATGTCTGTCCGTCTGTCTGTCCGTCCGTCCGTCCCTATCAGCGCCTAGTGCTCAAAGACTATAAGAGCTAGAGCAACGACGTTTTATATCCGGACTTCTGTGACTTCTTCAAGAATATTTCAAAACTTTGTGCCGCCCACTTCCGCCCCCACAAAGGACGAAAATCTGTGGCATCCACAAATTCAAAGATACGAGAAAACTGAAAACGCAGAATCGTAGAAGATGACTATATGTTCTAGAGTGTAAAACCAGATCAGTCTGAACCAGTTCGTTTAATTATTATAGCCAGAATCAAGAAAACAATTTCATTCTTTCTCGCTCTGTCGCTCTCTAACACACAGGTTTCATGGTTGGTTTTGCCAATTGCAAAATGAGAGTTCAAGGATCTCAGAACCTATAAAAACCAGAGCAACCAAATTTGGTATCTTTGGTACCTTGACCTTTTTGTGTCACAATTTCGCCACACCCCCTTCCGCCCCCGCAAAGGACGAAAATCTGGGGCATCCACAAATCTCAGAGACTATTAAGGCTAGAGTAACCAAATTTTGTGTCCGCACTTCTGTTAGATCTCACTATAAATCTCAAAATTTCGCCCAACCCCCTTCCGCCCCCACAAAGGACGAAAATCTGTGGCATCCACAATATTGAAGATACAAGAAAACTAAAAATGTAGAATCATAGAGAATGACTATATCTATCCGGTTGCTGAATCTGGATCAGATCGGATAATTTGAATAGCCAAAAGCAAGAAATCAATTTGCAGTGGCTACGCAGCGCCCGACGTCACGCTCAGACTGATTTTCTGTCTCTCTCGCACGCACTCTTTGTCGTGTCGTTTAATGTTAGTGGCGTTTGCCGGAGGAGAGCCATACTGACTAGGTATCAGGTATAAATGTAGAGTTGCGGTGTCCGCAGCAACTCACAACGTTCCCCCTCGTTTGTTTTAACAACAGACAATTTGCCACACCTTAGCATAGGTCCGGCCTTCTGAAATGAAAGTTTTGATCCTTTGTCTGTTTTCTTCACTTTAGTGCTTTTCCAGACGTAAGCCACCGATTTTAAATTCAATCAAGAACTTAAAATATCAAAAAGCTCGGAAAAGTATAAACTTGTACATAAAACAGTTACTAGTGCTCCATTTCGCTCTTCTTTCGCAAAATTGCCTAAAGTAATAAGAGCCGCTTTTCTTCCAACCATCTGGGCATTATATAGGGTATCAACTAGTCATACCTTTAAAACAACTTCTTCGTTATTTTAGGCGTTCACAAGACTGAAGCAAACAACACAAAAGCAAAAATAGCAATAACAATAACGAATAAAATCTACGAAAGAAACGACATTTTCTGTGTACGCGCCGCCGCCGCTGCGCAGTCCAAGCAGTCGCTGTTTGACGTTTTGTTTGTGCACTGCTTGCAGGTTGCTAATGCAGTCGCAGCGCTGCTGCCTAGCTGCAGTAGTTATTGCTGTTGCTGAACTTACGGTTGTCGTATTTTTATTCATTTTTTCCTCTGCTCGCACATAGACATACGTACATATGTATGTATGTTTGTGTACATATGCCCATACATATTTTTCTCTTCGTATGCATTTTTATCTGCGTGTGTTTGTGTGTGTTTGCCTTGGATCAAATTTGTTGAATTGTTTATTTAGTACGTTGAAGCTGTTATTGCTATTGCCGTGTGTCCGTTGCGCTGTTGTTTCTCTCGTTTTATTGTATTTTTCGTTATTGTTATTATCGCTAGTACCAGCGGCAGCAGCAGCAGCAGCAGCAGCAGCAGCAGCACTACCACCACCAACACCACCACCACCACCAGCAAACGGCGTTGCATTCGCTCTTGTTCGGCTCCCAGTCGTCGTTCGGTGCTTGCTGTTATACTTTCATTGCCGTCTCTTTCGTTTTTGGTATTTGTAAATTACATAAATTGTCTTGGACTATAAATTACGGGAAGATTATTATGGATTGTTGCTTGCCTTTTGTAATTCATACATACATAAACATATATGTACATATATATGAATCTGTGCTTGTGTGAGATGGTGTTCGAGTGTGCTTGCACATGTAGCATTTATTGTGGTTCGAATGCAAGCAGCGAACAAAAACCAAAAGCACCAACAATGTTACTTCTCTACTCTTTCTACTACTTATTTTTCACCTTTTTTTTTTTACTATTTTTAGGCTTTTATAGAGATCTGCATTTAATGGTACACTCGCATAGTTACATATGCATACCGCTCTCCGATCTCTCTATCATCAAGTGTGTGTGCGGGAACAACATTGCCGTTGTTTCTGATGCCGAGGGCTTGGAAATGGGATATGGTTTATGGTACGAGTTTACGGAGGCGGGGGAACGGGATATGGTAATGTTAGCAAATATGTGCATCGCGTGACCAACATGGGTTGACATCTGTCTGCAGCCTTTTTTTTCAAATGCCAGCCACAAGAGCTGGAGTGTTAAAGGGGCGAAGGGATCAACAGGAGGATCAGGAACAGTGCTGGATACGGTATTCCCTCACAGGCGTTCCTCACAACTGGGAAACTCACAACTGGGAAACTCACAACAATAACTGTAGCGTAAAGAAGTCTTGAACTTTTATATACACTGGATTGGCAAGCAGACGGATCAGAATCAGTAATGGAATAGAATGGAACGCCTTGGGAAGGGTTTCTTTCGGGAGAAACCGGTACTCGGTACTCGGTACTCGGTACTAGAAAGTCAAGCCGAATCAGGATCAGATCATATACATATATGTAAGTATCTAGACACTGGAATTGTAATGGTAAGGTCTTCATCGATTGCGTAACAGATTTGCTGCTGTGCGATCAAGAAAAGTTCTGCAAATATAATGTGTTCAGATGGCGTTTCTATCTCTTTCGAGCGCTCACCACCACTGACACTGCAGGGGCTTGAATGCAACCAAAGATCTTTCTAAATGTTACCAAGACTTTTCAGTTCAAAGAAGTTGGATAAGGAGAAGAATAGCAGTTGGAATGGAATGGTAAAGGCGTCTAGGCATAAACCCTCAGACTCAGACAAGATACACTTTTCGCTGGCGAAATGTGATGTAAGTACAGTAGAATCCGGTTATAACGACTCTGCTTATTCGATGACTTGGTTGGCCCCCATGCAAACTTATATGAAAGAGCCTCCGCTTAATATATATGCATATATCAGTGATCGGCAACGATTTAAAAGGAAGAACTGGCTGAATATATTCTTATTGACAATGCTGTGGCGTTTTGTGAGGACCCTTCCGAAGACAACATTGTTAAAAATATATTAGATAACGGACAGGACAGCGACGGCAACGTCGAAGATCAAAATGAAGCGTTTTGGAGGCATTTAAGCCTGCACAAATTCGGAATCCATTAAAATTGAATGACGAGAGCTTAACGCATAGCATGACTCGTTTAAATAATGCCGTGCGCTACTGTTTTTATATATCAGAAACTACTGCTAAACAATCAAAAATTACTCATTGTTTAAACTAAGAATAAAAAGAAAGACCCCTTGTTATATTATGCTTATGAATATGCATTATATGTATACAACTTTTTATGAAAAACACAAATTAATGAGTTTTATTTAAAAACAATATATTTTTTTTTTGCTCCTCTTTTGGTTAGAGCGTCTTCCTGGGATAACGACGTAAAATCATCGGTCCCTTGAGTGTCGTTATAGCCGGATTCTACTGTATTTTTATATTTCGCTGGCGGCAGTTTATTAAAATGTTCTGTGTTTGTTTACAAATAAAGTCGAACTTTTGTATGACGGCAAGAGGGAAAGCAAGTAGGCTATTAATGTCGCCTGTAATGAATAAATCCATAGTTTCTGAAGATAAGTGGAACCAACACGTTTTTATCTATCTATATCTATCTATACATTTACTTTAGACTTCTTTAATAAAAGTCAATTTGTTTCATTATTGAATATTTTTGGACGGCATCCTGGCTTGTTACACTTTATTTCGGTTGTGCCTGCCAGTTCGCTAGCGAAAGGTAGCGAAAGGAATATACATAGATATATTTATACCTTTCGGTCGTTCAAAGCGGAACACCGTCGTTTTTTTTCTAGTATTATTCGTAATTTTATTTATCTTACCTTAGAACTACATAGGTCGCGAAATTAAGCTTTTTAAAAAATCTAGCTAGCAAAAAACAGAAATGTCTTATGTTATGTTGTTTAAGTTTTCTGAGTACTAGGGCTTATATCTCATAATAAATGTGGGAAACATAATTAGAAAAACATTCGACGGAATATCTTCCACTAGAGATAATTCATTTAGCTGGAATTGATCGCGGAAATACTGACCCTCTCGCTGTATTCAGCCCCCCTTTATTCATCGCCTATTCAGTTGCATAAGTGAGTTCACTGAAGGTATCGGTATCGGTATCAAATCGAAAACATAACTTAAAACTGAACTGTGATCAGTAATGGTTTTTGTGAATGCCTTGTTTCTACTACGATTCATTGCCAAGCGATCGTGAAAATTTTAAAAGTGTAGAAATTTCCGCTAACAATACCATAGAAAATTTCACTTTATTCAATTCATGTATGTACCTATGTATATACTACATGTATATAGTATAGTATGTAAGTACTAAGCACACAAAGCACAAACACATGCAAAAAGGCACTTACAATTACAGATATAAGCATGCATATGTATGTATGTGTGTGGATATGCATTGTATATTTAACATAAGCGACTGTACATTGCATGTGCTTGTTGTTCTCTATTTTATCAAGAGGCTGTTCAAATACGAAAGAATAATAAACACCCGCACGCACACAGGTACGGATACAATTGCTCTTAAATATGTAAGTATTCGAGTATCTTAAGCATTCTCGTGGGAATTGTGTTTAACCATAAGGTAAGACTGTCTTCGAAGAAAGATCGCACTGAAGCTTAACATACGCTAGGCTAAATCCCGTTTTAAGGGGAGTACTTATTTCTAAATGTCTGGTTCAAAGTGGAGATTATAATAGATAGTGTTGTAGCCATAGTCGCGGTTGTTCAAATTCATCCGAGTTGTTTAGATTGAAAATGGAGTAATATTGTTTCTGCGGAGGCTTTTGTTATAATACGATACGATTTCGATCAAATTTTGATCAAATATGTAGTTCGCGAGTTAGTTTTTAAACACACACTTTTTAGTTTTCCTTTCAGTGGCCTATTTTTCAATTTGTTTTAATCATGGAGATTTTGTAAAGATTCACATTTAATTGCAAGTTCGGTAGAATATTTTCCAAATTATCTAGATTATAAATTTATTTATGCGATGCGACCTAACACTCGATGGTCTTTTATTTATCAAAAGTTTCTGATTCTGTTTTTATCATAGTAAACCATTTGTAGGGCTTCCGAAGATTTATTTTATTACATTCGGTCTCATTTTGGATTTCGATTTAGCAAGCTAAATTGTATGTAAAATATTCTTACATTTTTTGGTAGCTAAAATGGTGTGAAAATTGTAGTAGCCTTTTTAAAGGGTATCAAAATCGTAATCATTCACACGAACACACACACACACATGCTTTTGCAAACACACGATTTCATATAAAGTTAACGCACTGATTTAACGTAACTATTCCAGTGCTCTCAAGTGAACATACATAGTAGTTAATAGGAAAAGCAACAAGAACTCACAAAGACAGAGACAGATAGCCGTGGAATAAGAGAGGGACAGGACAGGGGGAGAGAGAGCTAACAGCATGTGCTGAGAGCAGAGAAACGGAATGTCAGGCAACGCGGGCCAGGGAGGGGTGGGTGGCAATGAGAGCAGCCCAAGGAGCGAGCGAATGAATGAGTGAGAGAGCCCAAAGCCATAATAATAACAATCATAAATTGAAGAGTTAAACTAATAATGATATACAGCTATCTCTATCGCACTCTCCCTCTCTCTTCGTAATACATTTATGTACTTGTGTGTGTGTGTGTTGTATAGTTAATAATAATAAAGTCGCACATACCTTTATTTAGTTGAAATAGCTTTGCATTTATCTTTACTCGGCTTCTTCCTCTGCCTTTCGTCTTCTGATTCGTAGTTCGTAGTCTATGATTTTTGTTATTTGCCGTTGGTTCTCTCTCTCTCTCTCTATCTTATAGTTTTCACACAAAACAGAATAAAAAAAAAATGGAATGTGTAAAATTGAATTTATTAGTACTTTTTATTGTTCGTCGTTTTAGGAGCGTCTCTGTCATTATGTGTGGATAGAAAACTATGCTATATGCTTCTATAAATGTTTTTCAAGGAACCGTTCTTCGTTACGTTTTACTATTCATATTTGTTCTTTCCTTACTCGCTCTTCTTACTCACACTTTTTTACTTATTTTTCTCAGCTTTTCCTTTGCCTTTTCTTGGAATTGAATTTTTCGGCTAACGGTAAAAGCGCACTGCCAAAAAACAAACAAAAAGAACAGGAACGGAACAGACGACAGGGGAAACTCCCAGGGACTGAAATCCCGTCACACGCGCGCTGCTAACACACCGTTATAATTGCCGCATTAGTGTATGAAAGTGCATGTGCAACCGCAAAAACAGTGCACTCCGGCAGCATGAAACACACTTATTGCTGTTGTTACTAGTCTAATTTTAGTTATTGCTTTTAATGGAGCCGCGCCAGTAGACAGAAGCAAAGGTAAATGTAAACTACGCTACCTGCGACCAGCAGCCGCAGTAAAGTAACACAAACAAACGTTAACAAGCGCGTAACGTAACGCGCTCACGACGGTCAATTAATTCTTGTCTTCCAGTCTGACCCTCAGAAATATACCCAAACTACGTCACAAATTTCAAAATATACCGTAAACATACTGACGAATTATTTTTATTCAAGTTGCATTATATTCTTCGTTTTTGATATTTGTTTTAATATTAATAGTTAGCAAGAACCCTCAGCTCTCAACTCATAATTTAATCCGATTTTCAAATCAATTTCCTATAAGACTGGTTAACTTTAAATGTTAATTTTTATTGCAATGCTTCAAAAATAAGGTTTAAGCAACCAATAAGGTCAAGAATAATTTCTACGAAATGAATTTCCTTACATGGTAACTTCACGCTAACTACACATTCGCTACAAATTAACTAAATTTTTATGTAATTACCAAATGCGACACCTGATGGGGAAATGTTTCAAACTTTTATGCCCGTTTTTTCATATAAGCCCCATGGAAGCGCCACTATGAAAACCATCCGTTATCCACTTTTTGACATGGCTTTTTTCCATTTTTTAAAAAATTTAGATTTTGATGGCAAACGATCAGGAATTCGATGGTGATCACGAACTAGTAATCGATGTGGCATGGGATATGGCTCTAAGTGGCATTTCTACACGGTTTCTACATTGGTGCATTGGACAAGAGCCTGAGTCCATATCGCGTCTGAAAATATACTGGAAAGTACTAGAAAATATTATGAAAAGTAAAAAATTTGCAAGGTGTGTGAGCTAGACATGCTGGCAAGAAAATCAGTGTTGCATGCGAAGATATCGATAGGCGAGACCCTAGAAGCGCTGAGAGGAAGGTATTTTTTTGAACAGAGTGGCAGGGCCAAAATTTAAGGGGAAAGGTTAGCGAAGAGTGGCCACCTGGTCCTGGAGAGTTAGAGTTCCGCGCGCTCTCCGGAGCCGTTGTGAGAGGATTTCCGATCTCAGCCCATAACGGAGTCCCGAAGCCAACTCACCCACACCCAAAAGAAAAGAGAGCCGCCAGCAGCCCGAATCAGGCCATGCCCTTGAACCTAGTTCAAGGGCGATAGAAGAGAGAGCCATGGGGATCGGCAGCCGGGAGCATTAAACAGAACATCCAAGAGGGGGTTCAGAAAGAAAAATTCCCGCAACGGAGGAGCATGCGCGCCGGGCACAGTGACTTAGCGATTTTTTTGTGTTCTGAAAGAAATAGTGAGTGGGATGAGGATGGAGTAGTGGCCATCACCCTGCAAAAAAATGAATAAAAGATAAATAAATGTGATTCCAGGGGATCCAGATCAGGGAAAGACCAGGAACCAGGACCAGGAAGCATAAGAGTGAGTCCGCTCCAAAGGGGGAGTAAAGAAACCCCTAATTTATTTTTTTTGTTGGCCGTAGGGAATAGGTCACAGCTCCGCCACCCTGGCTTGTTTTTCCTGCTGGTCTCGAAGGATCAGACCTGGCCACGTAGTGCGGGACCCTCGCCCACTTAGGGAGAAGAAAAAAAGCACATCAACTTATTTACTCCCATTAATTATTTTTGTTAGACGTCTCTAGTTATAAGTATATGTAATTTAAGTCCGGCCATATTTATTATATATATGTAACCTATTTATTTATATTTATTATATTATTTATTCCTATTAATCTAATTATTTATTAACCGCCAGTAGTACTAAGATGAGGGGGGGATGAATAGGCAGGCCTAGTTTAGAAATGATATCGTGTGAAAATAGGAAATGAAGTGAAGATTATAACGAAGAAATGAATTGTTAAGCGTTTCGTATGGGGGGAAGAGGAGCCACAGCAACGAGAGGGTAAGGCTTTTGCCAATGGCAGGGAGATCCGGAACGTGTGATTCAGATCTCAGGTAGGGTGGGTGCGTCGGGGGTAAAACATCGACACCTCGACCTGGTCCAAGTCTGTGTTGAGGGAAGACTGTAATGTTGTTTGTCGAGTAGAGTCCGTTTTTTTCAGTTTTTTTTTGTCGGTTATTTTCGTTATTTCATTTTGTTCGAGATGTCCAATCAGTTGGTTGTTGTGCGACCTGAGGGCTTGGGAAGTATCCAGCCCTGGGATGACTGGCTAGCCGGCCTTGCCCCAAAGAAAAACAAAGGTTCGTAACAATAATGGCGCCCAATCTGAGACAGGGAAGTGGACTCGCAGTTCTGGCTCGACCATCAAAGAGGGAGAGTACGGATGCGAATCATACGGACGTCGAAGAGATTATAAATATCCAGCAGAGAAGATAGATCTCGAATGGTATTCTGCAATCTGGGGTCCATCGGTGTTCCGGTGGCCTGTGAGGGACTCGACGAGTTGGCTCACAGAAGCACGGCGCTGAGGGACCTGAGGATGCAAGAAAAAAATCCACAAAGTAAATAGTTTTTTTTTGATGTTTGATGTTTCGGCACTTATCTGACAACGGGAAGCAGGCAATCTCAAGAGGGGATTTGGTTTGGCACTGGCAGAGGAGAATCCAAAAGCCAGTTAGCAACCGGCCCGGTGCCTGGTGTGCAAAAGGAGAACCTGAAGAAAAAGAAATACCCGAAGTTAGGAATGGTCAGAAAGATTTATGTTTTTCGCTTCCCCTGCTTACCGCTGGATGGAGTCGGGAGAGTAGATTCTCAAGGAGATTTTTTGTTCTGAGTGGCCCGTGGGGACAGATGTCGGCCACGCGTTGCACTCGGAGCAGCTACAACATCCCGCAACGAACATTCAGTAGGGAAGTAGGCGGAAACAGCGACTGTAGGGAAGTGAGCGCCCTTGACTCTTAATCTTTCAAGGAAGATAAGATCAGTCAACAGCGCTCGCCAAATTCTAGACGTTGGACAGGAAAAGACGTAGAACACCATGTGCAGAGTTGGCCCCAGTAGTAGTTGTGGTTCCTTTCCCCCTTATTAGTGTTTTTGCCGTATTAAACGTTTTTGTGCTGAAGATCAGTGAGTTGGCGTTATAGGTAGTGTTTATGCGATTGTTCTGAAAGAAGAGTAGATAATTAATTGTATTGAATAAAAAGATAATTAGGATAGTTCGAGGTAGGGAAATACAGGGCTAGGTTGATGAGCGCGTACAACTTGCGGTCTAAGCAGAAAATGACTCGCAGGACTCCTCCACCAGGTAACCTCCAAGGACAGATGCAAGGCGGGGACACACAGGGCGCTGAGGGGCGTGAAGACGACAGCTGGAATTTGCCAGGCCAATCGAACGCACTGCCCTCCGAGATTCTCTCAGGAGTAAATGTCGCCATAGCGCAAGCACAGGAGACGTGGAGAGGCAGCATGGCAGATACCCTGAGTAGGACGTTGCAGGAGGAGATCCGTCGCGGCTTTATGGAGCTGATGGGGGCCATAACAGAGGTGATGGCGCCTCTGCGCCAGAACGTGGAATTGATCCAAGATCTGAGATTGGAAAGAGACCAGGGTGAAAACAACGATAATAATAATGGCGATCAGCAGCCTCTAGCTCACCTCAGACAGAAGCCGATCACAGGGACCATGCCCAAAAGACCCAAGGACGATGACGCATGGAATTCACAGTCGCCTCCAAGGAAGCCGGCGAGGTTGAGCCAGAACTGGCGCCGAGGAATAGCCGATGCGGACCAGGATCCAGGTGCTGGAAGGCAGAGACGGGAGACATCAGGAGACGGCGGAGGTCCAACGGATCTGCCACCATATGAAAGGAGAGATGATTGGAGAGGAGCGAGGTGGGGGCGCGTCGACAAATGGGAAATCCACTTCGACGGAGATGGAGATCCAAATAAGATGACGGTGCAGGACTTCGTGTTCAGGGTCGAGTTCCTCCGTAGGCAGAACCGACGGTCGTGGGACGAGGTCCTTGACAACTTTCACCATCTCGTCAAAGGACAAGCGGCGGAGTGGTATTGGCAATTTGTCCGAGAACGGCCTCCGGAAGGATGGGAGGATTTGAAGGACGAGTTGGTGTCCCGGTTCCGAGCAGTGGGTGGCGAGTTCGAGCGGCTACGCACCCTGCATGAGCGAAGGCAACAATCTGGCGAATCTGTGGAAGAGTATTTTAGAGCGATGCGCAGACTGGCGGCTAGACTCACCACACCTTTGGTTGAGTCCGAAATGGTGCGAGTCTTGAAGAAGGGGCTCGATGATGAGATCGCCCGCTACGTTTACGCGATCCGAGTCCGGAACGTGGAGCAGCTGAGGGAAGAGTGCCTGGAAGTGGAGTACCACTTTCGCGGACGAGAGCAGAAGTCGACGTTCCGTCCTGTGCCGAAATTCCAATCAGCCGGGAAGCGAGTGGAGGAGCTAGAGCCGGAAAAGGAGTTTCTGGATGAAGACGAAGCAAGGATGGTGGAAGAAACTCACCTGGCAAACAAACCCAGGCTGTGTTGCTGGAATTGCGGCCAGTTCGACCACGGATTCCGAGACTGCGTGGCGAAGGAACGCAAAATATTCTGTTACCGCTGCGGGAAACCAGAAATGTTTACTCCAACGTGTCCCAATTGCTCGGGAAACGCACGAGCGGGCATGATGAAAGCGGGAGATCAGCGCTCGGGACAGAAGCCCGCGAAGAAATGAACGATGGTCCACTAATTAATATAGAATTTAAGAATAATAGCCCGAATAAATTAAATAAAAATAGTTTGAAGTTTGTACCGGCCGAAGAAAGGATGAGGAGATACATACAAATTCGAAACCAGATCTTTGATGACAGGCAGCTGGAGGGGATGCGCGGTGTCAGTCGTAGACTCCAAAAGGCCCGTTCCAGATTTAAGGAAAGGCGACAGACTCGCAAAGAGGTGGCCGAGGCAGTCAGACGAGGAGCAGGACGCGATCCCAGAGTGTTTGCCGAAGTGCAGATAAGAGGACATCGGATTGCTGGACTCCTAGATACTGGGGCATCCGTGAGTGTCTTAGGAAAGGGCAGCCGTGAACTCCTTGCCGACCTTGAGGTGGAAATGGACAATTATGTC